TTATTCAGGTTGTTGATCTGCGACCCCTCACACACATGTTTAGGAAAACCTTTGACTTTGCCCCCGACCTCCCCCTGGGTGAGATGGTGGTCCCGCATTTAGCTGCTAACTTTGGCCCGATCTACATGTGCAAGCTGAGGAGGCTCACATAGACTCTGGACTGATGAGTTGCTTTGCACCAAATCGTTGTGGACATTTGAATGATTTGTTGATGCTTTATGGACTAAGCAGAGGATCCCCCTGTGGACTGTGGAAGCACTGGACTACGCTTGGTCAAATGTGATGGGACACACAAAGAATCTGGGTGAAGGACCTCGACTGAGAGATTATTATTGTGGACGGCATGGAACTGCAGAATGTTATGGAGACTTTTGGACTCAACCTACAGGAACACCAGTTACATTCATACATTTTGTTTGCTTTGAACATTCTTTTTATTTATTTTGAAGAACAAGAAATTAACCACACTTGGTTACCCAGTAGTAACAATTATGCCAGACTGCTTTTATTCCCCAAAATATTTCTAAAATGTTCTTACTTAAAGGTGAGTTTTCCGACCGAAACGGTAATGTATAAAATATAGGTAACAATATCAGAGACTTCCACTATTGAGGATAATGAGATTCATCTGCAACATTATAAGAAATTGAACATGTCTTTGCATACATGCATGAAAATGTACTCTAGTTGTTTCAATGTCACTAAACCTATTATCTTTACATCATGTCCTCTAGAATAAATGCATTTTTTCAATTCTCTGTTTTCTTATTTGAACTCAGCTTTGCAATGTCTTTTCATATTGTAATTATATTGTGTTCCTGTAGATGGCAACAACAGCTAAGATGAAAGTGTCCTGTATACGTTGTGTCCACTAGAGGACACTGAAGAAGTGTTTGTAAGCTCCACTGTGTATGCCCTTAGAGATCACATTACTAAAACACACGTTTCCATCAGAATTACCTGCTCTCTTTAACTCTGCAATGAGAACGGGTTTGGGCTTGTTCTCTGGTTATTCATCAGGTTTGATGGCTTTGCCTAATAACGCGTTGTGTGGAAGCAGGGTGTGTAATGGACAGGCAGGTAATGACTTATTTGACTATTTGGCTTCTCACATCTGAATCTGTGCAACTTTCATTATTATATCTGGATTGAGTCTGTTTTGCATTGACATCACTCAGAGGGGAAGTGTTTGCTCTGCCTAATGTGAGCGGAGAGCTGCCTCTTTTTCCATCACACCGCCGATGACCCTTTATGTTGTCCTGGCCGGGCAATGTAGCGTGAAAAAGGTGTGTGTGTGTGTGTCTAACGAGTCCACCATCCACATCCCACTGTCATTAAGCTGCTCCAAGTGCAGGAGCCGACTCCCATCCCCGTGCAGGGTCGGACGGCAGCCATGCGGCTCCCAGATGAACATTAAAGAGGCAGCAGAGAGCTAAAATGGGACGTTTTGCCCCTCCGCTTTTTTGATTCCACAGATGAGTGCAGATAATTTTCTGTGCGATTGTGAGTGATTACTGTATTACTGCTGTAAAAGGGGGATGTATCTGGGAATGCAGAGGGAATTAATGACACATAAAAACTATTTTTGTATTGACTGCTTTCGTCTCCAGGGCCTCGGATGCCTCCCCGTACATCTTGTGATTACCTAAACGTATTGTAAATATGTGTTTCCTATGGGCTCTTACATAAATTTACATGTTTTAACACTCGGGAGATGGCAGGCGGTTAGAGATGAGTTACTCTCCATTCTGCCTGTCTATAGAATCCACTGGCTGTCTGCTTTATTATTGAATTAGCCAATGAACCGCTGTGCGTTTGTGTCCCTGTGTGTAAGCCTGTGTTAGGCAGACATCTGCTGTGTATTAGAAAGATGAATATTATGGATTTATCTTCCAGGCTTCTGTTGCGTCAAATACAATTTCAAATGTTGCATTATTGTTAATAAACACACTAATGGTGTCATGTTTTCACCTAGTACCTCACAAGCTGCTGAATGTATGATCGTGTACCATTAGTGATGACCTCTATCTATTGAAACTGGAACACTAAAGTTTGTTGGTAAATGATGGCAAAAGGGAAAAGCACTGATAATGGTGGAAGAAAATAAAGTACATTTACTCATACTGAACTTAAGTACACATTTTAGGTACTTCTACTTTACCAGTCTTTTAAATGTATGCTACTTAATAATTCTACTTTACTACATGTTAGGAGCCAATATTACATTTTATAATGTACTAAATAATTTGGCAGCTCTAGTTACTAGCTACTTTATTCAGATTATGAGCTAAATCAACTAATAGATATCCAGGAGCAATTCTAATTAGCTTCAAAGTTACCAATTGTAATAAATGAATGCGTCAATGCTCATTATTTTATATATTTGATTCGGAAATGGACAAGAATGCATACTTCTCTTTTGTTACTGTAAGTATACTTTAATGGTGATATTTGTTCTACTGTTACTTAGGATTTTGAATACAGGACTTTAACTTGTAACAGAGTATTTTTACATATTACTACTTTTACTTAAGTACAAGATCAGACCTCTAAACATTAACAAGTGTTCAGATCTCAAAATATGAACTTTATCTAAATCTTCACCTGCTCTGAAATGAAGGATTCAGTTTTGTGTCTTCAGCCAATTCGGAGGTGAAGATTTAGGTGTCTTCATGTTTAGTAAAGAAACACACAGGAACCCAGTTGTTGTGTATTTAAAGCAAATGCTGCTGTTCCCGCAGCCCAGAGGTGAAGCTCAGACGTGTCCCAGTTGGTGGTGGGAGAGGGGTTTTCTCCAATGGGGGTCTTTGTTGCAGAGGCAGTATGTAGACTGAGCCCAGCAGGATGCTCTCTGCCACAGGGCGGATAGAAAATGATACGGAGTGTGGGATTTTATTTTCATATGTACACATTTTTGACATTTATTTCTAGATTTCTACTTACTTTTACAGGCATCCAGGTGTCAATTGAAATGAGGGAAAGTATTATTTGTATCATGTTCCAGTAAAACGTGTGTTACAGTAAGGACAGACTGATGAGATGCAGTTGACATGCATAGGTTTACCTCTTCCCTTTCCTACTTCATTCTCTTCAGTTTTCTTTTCATTTTCCTCCACGCTGGTGAAGCTCACATAGAGATTTGAAGACTCACTGGATCACAAACTGTTTAGAGGCTCATTTAAATTACGACACAATTGCCCTTTTGCACAATTTTCATCTATAATTTTGGATGTGTGATAATATTTAATATGTCAAATGTCATTCTTCTGGTATCTTCTTGTATCAAAATATATATTGGTATGGAGCTATATTATTGAACCTACCTTCAGTGTTAGTTTTCTGGTGGCACAGGCCTGTGAAGATACAGTACTTTCATAATAAAGCCTGCTTAAATGTAACATTTAAGAACATGGGATATTTACCGTCTTTTCTGTCGCTCATAGCTAAAACGTTTCCCTTTATACTATTTCAAAACTTGTGTCAACCACGCCTTGTACACAAGCCATGCACTTGATATGTTATCTAAGCATCTTCCGAATGCCTCAGTCCTCCATGAAGTGGCTGAGAGTTTAGTGAGGCCCCCATTGGAAATTCAACCGTAGGTTTAGGCTGCAGCCAGATTAAGAAGAGAGAGAATGGGGGTTTTCTTCTCTCTAAGAAGATTAACCGGGGAGGGGTGAGATGGCAGTCAGTGTTTAAGAAAAAAAAGGACACGAAGAAATTGGAAGATGAAGTGGAACTAAAGGAGGGTGGCCCAGGACACACAGTTCAGCCACCTGTTGTCTTTCTCTATCTATTGCACTAGATTTTACACTTATGGTAAAAGTCTTGAGTCTTAAAGGTAAAAAAGTCCAGGGATTTGAGTTGCAGTTTCCCCTTAAGCATCACGTATGAGTTCAATCTCTTTTCTTTGCATGTGTATGTGCAGCTGTGAGCCTGATTGTACTCTCCCTTAAGTTCCTGCTGGTAGTTTCCAGGAGGGCTTTGATGTGTATCTGGGCAATGCACTATTAGAGGGATTTCCCTGGGCCTGACAGCTCAGAGAATATGTGGCGAAATGGCAATGCCAGTGAGCTAAAAGAATGCTGGAAACAGGATTAGGATCATATTCTGGCAGACCCTGTCACCTCCTCAATGGGCCGAGGTTTCTAACGCTGGCACTTTTCATTCTCGCCATGCTTAAAACCTTTAAGAGAACCATGGAGAGGAGGGAGGGGGGAAAAAGCACTGATTGAATGGTACACTGTGATTTTTGTGTGGGGGGCTTGCTCCGGGGGGCTGTGTGTGTGTGTGTGTGTGTGTGTGTGTGTGTGTGTGTGTGTGTGTGTGTGTGTGTGTGTGTGTGTGTGTGAGAGCAGGGTTGGGGTGGGGGTCTGTGCGTTTTGACAAACCATGCTGTTAAAGATATAATAGCAGCATAATCACTGCCCCAGGCCGTCATTCTTCAGGATAATGGCCTGCTTATTCATTGGGGATAGCTTATGTCTCTGTGCGCTTTCTCTTTTTTTTTCAGATTACGTTGTTCCTGTTCTGTCTCTTTTACTCCATACTCTTTGTCTCCATAATAATTCTCATGCATTTTATTTTTATTTAATTTTTGTATTGTTCTTAATTTAATCTAATGTCTTTTCATTATCTTGATTTCTTTTCTTTACCTTTTCCCTCTCACCATCACCTTTTTCCCATACTTTGTTTTGCCTGAAATATATAATATAACCCACATTATATTTAACTTGCTTACATCTGTTTTACTTTTGCCACATAAGGATTTTTTAAACAAACGTTGTTGCTTCAGAGTTGTTTAGGTGCACTCGATCAATTCGTTTTGAAGCTTGTGCAGTTGAAAGGCAAATTAACATATTTGTACTTTTGCTTATTTAATAAATGTTTTGGGCATTTTAATTGTAAATTTTAATAGCAACCCACCTTTGTCAGTGTTCGGCCATTACTAGCCTTCTACTACTTAAATATGCAACACAGATTCATTGTAAAGGTCTTCAAGCAATGTTTTTATTTGCGATTATTTTACAACAACACTAATTCAAGTCTACATCTTCAGGGAGGGGCAAAGGAAACAACACTGCTGATGGTCTGCTCCATCTCTCTCCTCCACCATTATAAATGTATCTACCACTGGACCAAGTAGTTTGACAGAGACAGTGGGGGGGGACAGCATTAGAATAATAGCAACAACAGAACTCAAAGAGTCAAGACAGCAGTACACAAAGGACTCGGGTCAATTCACTGAAATCTGTTCACTTTTGTCTGGATTGCAGCATACATGAGGGGACAGTTTTGCAGCGATCCATATTAGTTAATTTGCTTCTTTCTAGCCAATTCAAGTGTAGAAAGAAATCACATTTAAAATATTAATGCAACCCAGGATCGTTACACAGACAACCAATAGAGGTGGGGTAAGAGGGGGCTGCCGGTGAGCGAATACAATCTTACAATCTGACAGCAAAAGGAACTTTATCTGAGTCCGTTATCAATTGTACAACATAATATGAACTTTACAATTACCTTACCAGTAAACATTAATAGATAGACTTTTTTTGTATTTTACATATTCAAATAATGTGCATTTTTTCGTGTGAAGACATTACACATTAACAGAAAACATCGGAGACATGTGTGATTCTCCTCAAGTGCTTACAGACGGTGTTACTTTCAATGACAAGCGGCATGTTTTCCTCAATAATGCAAGAATAACTGCTAACTAAATATGGGACGGGACATTTATTCATTTGTCCATATTTGTTTTCCTTATCACTTTGTATTCAAAGTGATCAACTCATGTTTAAATGATGTCAATCATGTTGCCACAGAGCTTTTGAATATATAAAGGCAGTCTTAAATGGTATTCATGTTCATAATTGCATTTGCCCCAGCTCCCTGAGCCCAGGGCAAAATGTAATTAAAAGCTTTGAGAATTTACTCACTGAAATCATTTTCTCATTATCAAGCCAGCCTCTGTACAAAGTGGCATATTACTGGCCATTAAACTGGTAAATGAGTCTCTTTTAATTATGCTATTGAGGACAACACAGCTTGAAGTTTATTTTTATTTATGTGCTGTTATGTAGTACATGCTATGTACATAACCACGCTGCTTAATTGAAATGTCAATGGTCCTGTGAAAGAAAGGTTCTCCCTGCTGCATGAGCGATACCTTTTTCCTCCTGGCCAACGAGCCCAATTCCTTCAAAAGTGCCTCATTTATTCACATTGTTCTTGTAAACATTATTTGCATTGTCCTTTTTAAACCGAGTGCATCCATCATCAGCTGTGTACATCGATTTCAGTGATTCTTATTTAGATTTTTTTCAGATGTTAAGAAGGTCCAGCATTACAGTAGGTGTCTGATGGAAACATCATCATGTGAGTCATGAATAAGTTCACTGTCCTCTGAGTGGGACATTCATTTCATCCATCGCATCAATATTCAATATCTTGTGTCCTAGACCGTCAGATGATTTGGAAGCTAAGAGGAGTCAAACCAGCTGTTGATGTTGGGAGCTTTGTAGGTCCTGTGCATGTTGTCCTGTGCACAGTCTCACGTACACACAGTGGGATGGGGTGATGTGTGTGTATGTTGAGTGTGCCCTCCATACAATCTGATCCTCAGTTAGACATTGTGTCCAGTCCCAGCGAGGCGGCGTGCTGTTTGGCTCTCAAACGCAGGTTCTCGATGCTGGTGGTCTTGCTGTTGTGGCTGGCCAGGCCGCCCGCAGCCGGCGCCTGCATCAGGGGGCTGCCCCACACCTGCTGGGCGTGATGGGACAGGGACTGGTAGTAAGACTGGCAGGGCAGAGAGCCCAGCGGGGCGGGGGGCATGTTAACATTCATCCCCAGGTAGGGGAGTGAAGATGGGGCGGAGAGGTCGAAGGCAGGGTAGTGCACCATGTTGTTGGTGGCGGCCATGTGCTGACGGAACTGCTCCTGCAGACGGAACAGGCTGAGGGGGGAGGAAGAGTAAGAGTGGCTCTGAGGGAGGGGGCCAGCGCTGGACATGGCGCCGCTGGAGGAGGAGGGCGTCACGGACGGAGAGACGAAAGGAGAGTCTGGACAAAGACAAGAGGAGATTTGAATTATTCATTCAGCTGATGAATACAGTCTTGCCAAGAGTAGCATATTCAGCTTCCTGTCAGAGTAAAAATCAGGTGTCAGGTTCTTACCTGGTTTAGGGCTGAGTCTTTTGCAACCTGGAGATCTGTCCTCAGGAGTCGCTGCTCTCTCACACTTCATCTCCTCTCTCTGAGATTTACCCTCGTCCTCCTTATCTGTGGCATTGTCCTCTGTCGCAGACTCGCTGCCAGAGTGTTCTGCTGATGTGACATTCAGTTCGATGTCCAGGGGTTCGGGACAGACCCCAGCAACCTCTGTCTCCAGAGAAGAGGAGGAGGAGGAGGAGGGAGGAGGGAGTTGGGTGTCAGGAAGGACAGTTGTGGAGGGAGCTGCATCCTCCTTCTCGCTTCCTCCTTCTCCTGAGGCTTCCTTCTGCTTCTGAAGCTGCTCTTTCTGCAGGCTGCGCTGCTTCTTACGGAACTTGGCTCTGCGGTTTTTGAACCAAACCTGGTGGCAGAGGGGAGAAGAGGGCGAGTTAGAGGGAGAACAAGCTGAGGAGATGTCCAACTATGGACACAAACTGTAGTACCAGTCTGTATCAAATGATTGAGTGGTATATACAAAGCCCAGAAAATGTCAGCAACATAAAGTTTAAGATAAATTATCATAATCAAAATTACATCAGTTTTAACATTATTAATAGTTTAATTTACATTTACTTTAGTACTTTTTCGTATTCAGATGACAACCTATCTCTGTGCCCATTCAATGAAAAAAAATATGATTCAGTACTCTCTAAAATTATTTTCATTTTCCTGTTTTGGTAATAATGGACAGTTATAAATAAAAGACATATAGGCTACATATATATTGTGAATGTTCTCACTACTTCTTTAATTGCAAATAAAGTTGCCATTCAAAGATAATGCACACACAGTTGATAGTGTACAAACACAACAAAACACTTTTGAGGTGCCCATAATATACAACACCTGCATTAAAAATTACATAATTGATCAGATGGATAAATAATTCGAAGACAACATATAGCATTAAAAGCCCGTCTAACCTGCACGCGGGCCTCGGGCAGGTTGGTGCACATGGCCAGTCGCTCTCTCATCACCACATCCGGGTAGTGTGTCTTCTGGAAGGTCTTTTCCAGCGCCTCGAGCTGCTGTGCGGTGAAGGCCGTGCGGCTGCGGCGCTGTTTGCGGTGCTGAGAGCCGTAGCGAGCCTCCAGGATGATGTCTTGAAATGCGCAGCCGTTGGAAAGGAAAAACACACGGAAAGTTTATTTTAATGTTCGTCTAATAATTAAACAGCTCACTTGTATTTGCATTACTGTCAGCCAGTCTGATTATAATATGTCACAATTACATTTGTTCAACTAGCTTGAATAATTTGTCTGCAGAAAGGGCAACAATATGCATCCAAAATATGAGTTTGTGTGTGAGCGTGCACTCAATTACCAGCTAGTCTCTCTGCCAGTGTGAGCGCGTGCACGGATGGCCGGTAGTCGGGCGCGTGCTGTGCCTGCTGCGCGGCCTGCTGATGCAGGTTGTACATGGCGCTCAGCGAGTTCATGGCGTGCAGAGAGTAGCCGTTCACCCCGTAGTGCTGCATGCTGGGAGGTCGCTTTACCTGCGGACCGGAAGAGAGTGCTGTGAATTAAAGAGGAAGGAATGGAGTTCATTTAAGGACATTGTGAAAGTAAAGGCGCGTGGATGCTGGTGGGTGCAGTGCACTGAGCTAAAACTCACCGTTATGACCATGTGTTGTATAACCTATAAGTAGATTTACTGAAGTACCTACTTTACTTAAGTACAATTTTGGGCTGATTTGTATAGGCTATACTTCTGCTTCACAACAATTTAGAGGTTAACCGTTTACTTTGACTTCACTACATTTATTTAATATCTTTGGTTACTTTGCAATTGTTTGTAATTATGTGAAATATAAACAACACCTAAATAAGATTGTAGTTACACTTGGAGTAAATTCAAAAGCTACCCTATAAGTAATTTAAATTAGCTGCACCTTTACCAGCTTTGATAACACATTGATGCAACAATATTTAATCAAAAATATATGATATATTATTTTGAAATGGGCCAATCTGCATAATACTTTTACTTTTGGTAGCCTACTTTATATTCTGAATACTTTTGCACTTTTACTTAAATAACATTTTGCATTTTGAATGAAAGTATTCCTACGGTCTAATTTTACTTCAATATCTGAGTAGGCCTTATTCGACCTGGTAATGACAGAAAATAAGTCAAACGAGCTTTTTATTAGTATCCTTTACATGAGGTCCTCGCGCTTAAGGGCCAATATATTTTTGATGTGCGCAGTCAGACTAAAGTGTTATCCATTAACATCCAATTATCGCTGTGTTCAATCCATTAATTATACAAAAGACTTTTAATTGGGGTAATTATCACTCATTCCCATAATGAACCGTGACGAATGCCTTATTCATGAATTTATTTACGTCGTTTATGATCCCGGAGCAACCAAATCCCAAGTGAAAAAACGTTGCTTGACAGATCAAGGCGTTGATGAAATGTATAGGAAAAGGAAATAAGATTTGTTCCGGGTGTCGGTGTCCAAAACCTGCGACCAGACAGCAGGATTATTTTTGAATAGATGGTTACAGAAATGTTATTCTCAATAAGTGTTGTTTAAATGTGTGTATTACTTGTATTAATTTCCAGAAACGTTTACATTTATTTAAGTTTAGTTTGTGTTATTTTTAAAATAAAAATGTAAAATGTCTTTAAAGTCTCGCAATGAATATTTGCTATCCTCCACGACTGAGATGTTCATAGATGTATAGCCTTCAGGATACGATTAGATATGTATTAGTACGGAGGAGGGCATACTTGAGAGGCCCAAACAGTTATTATAACTGTTACTGTCCGTAGGGAAAATATATCAATCTTTCTCCATATGACAGACTATCCAGAATAATTGCTCTTAAAGTTATGGACAGATAGGCCTACTTTTCAGGTTATCATTTAGCTAATTTCGTTTTTATTTGATCTCTCTAATTCACAACGTGTTTTTCAAAATTGTGATGTAAATTTCAACAAAGTAAAGAAAAATCAGAAAGTGTTGTTAAAATTATAAAGAGTAATATTTGACATTGCAGAACCTTTTAAATTGACCAATGCTCTGAACAATTTCTTCCGGATATTAGTTTTGATTTAAAACTAAATTGTTGTTCATTTTAATTGACCTTATTTCTGGTTGACGTCTTTTGAATATCTATAGTTTTTGTAACAATCAAATGTCAGTTTTAAGGATTTGATTTCAGTATGAATTGTATTATTATTATTATTATTATTGATTTTATATGGCCAAATAAGCTATTATAAAAATGTGTTGTAAGTCAGAAAAGACTAGGTGGTCGTTTTTATAACAGGCACTTTTTCCTATCCACTTCGCAGCTTTTGAGTGTGTTTGCGTGTGTCTGTGCGTGTGCGTGTCTGTGCTGTGCGTGCGCGTGCGTGTGTGTGTGTGTGTGTGTGTGTGTGTGTGTGTGTGTGTGTGTGTGTGTATGTGTGTGTGATGCCCGCAGTGCCCATTCCCAGCCTATTAAGTGGCTGCGGCGGCTGATGAATGTGATCAGAGGGCGGTGGGGAATAGTTTAATTCGCCGGGACAGAAGGTGCTTCGCTAAACATTTACTTTACTCCCCCAAGTATTTGAGTTGAATGGGCCCCCCC